GTCCCCGGGCCGAAAGGCCCACCCAAGTTTTTATTGGGCCTCGGGGAGTGAAGAGCGAGTACAAGTCATCAATGGGGCGAAAGCCTAATTCATAAATGATAAGAAAGTCTTGATGACTCCGTTCTCTCATACGACACATGCATAGGGTTTCACTGCAGCTGTCCCCCTGCCAGAACCCAAGGCTCAACCAGTAACCAGTTACACCAAACTTGGCAGGGTAGGAGCGTCCCCCTCGCGAATTGGACGGCTCTTGATGTTTTTGGGGGAAGACTCTTCCGTACCAGAAAAGCGTGTACAATTAAAAGAACACCAACGACAGCAACTTAGCGGGTCTTCCCCCCGTTTTTAGCCGTCGGTACAAAGGCAAAGTGACCTAGATTTGGCACATGTTTTTAGTTGTGCGCGTAGGGCTAGGTTTCAGGTTCAGAACGGCCTCTGGAACACCCTACAACAACAACCACCATAAACAACCATCCTCACCAAAGTTGCTCCCCCGATGGTGTATCTGAAGGCCGAACTAAAAGGTTCAATACTTGGCTTCCCGCCGAATTACTCACGAACGAATTCTGAAACACGGATGGCAGGCGGTATGGTGTACAAGTGCATCTAATTACCAACCAGGGAAGTTGGGTTTGAAATCATTGGGCCTAGGTGTTGCAAGTCGGCAACAACCTAGTTCGGCTGGAGAGTCGGCGACGTCATCTGCCGGAGCAGGATATGGTAAATATTGTAAAAAGTTGAAGGTCCTAAATGCTGCAGAGCGGCGGCAACTTAGGGAGGCAGGCGGGTTACGAAGTCGTCTGCAAAAGCAGGGAGAAAGGGTTTGTGCAGCAGGGGGTTCGTGCAACAAGTGAAGAGTTGCGGTGGGACGTTCCCCCGAAAATCCCCCCAACTCAAGCAACAGCAAAAACCAAAAAAGCGCAACCAACCAAGGAACCCTGAACAAGAGGAAGGCCCATCCCCCCGCAACTCCGGCAGTACTCAAAACTTTTCCGCGCTCAGCTCTCAGTCTCGGGAGGACATCGCTCTTTCCTGCTGGCCGTGGCTCTCCCTTCTTGGTTCCCCCCATCGTCCTTGCCTACGAAGGTCGCGACGCTTCTCGCGAAAGGCAAGTTTGCTGTGCACCTTCCACGCCTCTTTCAGTCTGCCACTGTAGACTTGCGGGTGAGAAACGAGTGGTTCTCCCCTCGCCTTTGTAACCAGCTTGGGTAGTCCACGTCGTCCCGGAAGAGGAGGGCGGTCGTCTTGCCAAGGCCACTCTGGGGTGACGGGGATTTGTCCCCCCAATTGTACATCGCTTGCAGCTTCATCGCCATCCCCCCCCACTGGAGAGAGTCTTTCTGGGGCGACGGGGATTTGTCGCCCCAATTGCACATCGCTCGCAGCTTCACCGCCGTCTTCCCCCACTGGAGAGAGTCTTTCTTCCCCCGTAGAAGAGGGTGGCAGGGAGAGAGTTGTAGGTACCCATTCGCCGTCTTCAGTGTTGAGCCATTCGGGAGTGGAGAGGTCGAGGATTTCATCGGAGTATTCCTCCGACTCGCCACCACGAGGGGGCTGACTCCCCCATTTTCTCCAGCAGGCATCATGGATCTTGTCGACCCACGTTATGTCCTTCGCAACCTTGTCCAGGAACTTTGTAGGTTGTCCCCCGTGTGCACGTAGACAGCGGAGGACTGTGATTGCTTTCCCATATAGTTGTTTGCCTTGTACTCTTTCTGCATGCTCTCTCTGAAGCTGCGCCTCTTCCGCGTCAGTGTGGCGTCGCCCCAAGGCCTCGTCGCAGTGCCTCCCCCGCCTCGGGGACCATCGAAAGGGCCGTTTCCCCCACACCGGCTTGACATGCAGGAGTTCGCGCAGTCTGCTTCGCAGTGCTGTGCCAGACCATCGGCGTGTTTTACCTTTCTTCTTCACTTGCTTTACAGCGTCCCCCCCTGGAAAGGAACGGTCTCCTGTTGAGGTCGTCGTTGTTTGTCCTCCGCTCGGCTTTTGACTTTCCCCTGAGGTAGAGGTCGCGCATGTAATCCTGTTACGCACGTCCCCCCCGCTTCTCTGCAGAGTCGACAGACGCCTTTGATTTTGGCCACAGGCTGCGTCGCCTGTTCTTTTCCCCCTTCTATGGGGGTTTCTCGGGAGCTCGCCATCGATGAAGTGGATGCTCTCGTGGTAGAGGAGGAGCAAGTTTGCTGTGAGGTCCGCCGAAAAGTAATATGCTCCTTCCCCTTGCTGGCAGGCCTCCCCCGGAGGGGGCTGCCGTCGGGTTCCGGAGGAAGCGCAAACCCTCGGGGCCACTTCGAGAAATGGGCTGCGGAAATCAAGATTCAAGCGCCGCTGGGTAAGGTGTGAAGGCTCCCCGCAGTTAACCCCACACCTCCACCCCGATGCCAGGAGGCGTCACAAGCCCCCAAGGCAAAGGTGCAGCACTTGAGCCAAAATGGCTACGGGGACCCTCTCGCTCTCTCTCGCCTTCTCCGAGGCTTACGGGCCGAGTCAAGCCCTTTGCGGGCATGAAGGCAGCCTGCTTTTCGCAGGCTTTTAGGGAAGTGTGAAAGTTTCATGGATCTTTCACAGGATCAAGAAATTTCAATTTTAATTTTAATTATCGATGAACGCGTGTTTATCCTGTTATTCCCCATCATGCCGAAACATGCACGAAGTTATACGGACACGATCTACGGATACAACATGGACACGGCAACTGACATCAGATCTTGATCTGATCCTTCGACTTCGTCACTGTAGCGGCGTAGACATTCGAATTTTCAGCAATCGTACTCTCTCTTTTTTTTCGCCAGGGCTGTGGGCAGGTTCGTACTCTTCTTCTTCTTCCCCAGGGCATGAGGGGTCTGTCAAACCCCCCGGCCAGTTGGCCCCCCATTATTGGGGCTTTCGGAGGGTGTGAAAAGATGCTTTTCACTACTGAAGCAGTGCCTTCTTGGGGGGAGTAAGGTTCGTACTCTCTCTCCCTCTCTCTCTCTCTGTCTCGCTCCCTCGCTTTCTTTCATAAGAGTATCAGAAGAGGAAGCGACCCTGGCCCGTGCTCCTGGCGCCCCATATGGTATGTGGGCGCACTAAGTTATGATGGTCAAATTCGCCACCTATCTTTCTTTCGGCAGGGTTATGGGCAGCTCGCTCTCTCTCGTTCTTTCTTTCGCCAGGGCTATGGTGGACGGTTGTGGCCCTCCACCGAGCGCGTGTGTCAGTGCCCCCGACAGTTGATACAGTTGCAGGCGCGAAGAGTTTATGCTGCACTCTCGACCAAGGCTAGGACTCCCACCAAAAAAACAGCCGTACCAACAGGAACAACCAGGGTCCAATAGCCTTTCGTCCTATCAGGTCCTATCATGCAACATGTAACAGCAAACTAACCACCCCAAAAGGAAGAGCAAAGCCTCCCTCCCCCCGCCCGCGCACGCATGCGCACTGGTCTTGGAGTCTGGTGCGTGTCTCTTCTGCCACACAGCCAAGAGAGAGCGGAATGCCTTCCCCGCCTCGCGTGCGCAAGCACCCTGGTCTCCAAGGTCTCTGCACGTCTGATACTCAAGATGAGGCCGACGTCTTTGCAACAGCTGCATCCACCCTTTACGAACACTACTGAACCACATCCTTGCCTCATCTTTAGTCGATGCAAGATCTGTGCCCCCGCTCGCAGTTTGCACAATCACAGCTCATGGGCACCGGGTGGCCAGTCTCAGGCAGGCAACACCCAACTGCACAAGATCATGACTGGTGTGTGCGCGCCTGTGTGCGCGTGTCTCTTCCTTCCATCCGTCGGGTGCAGGTCTTCAAGCGCAGACCCGAGACAAGCACCGGCCCCCCCGCTTTGGTTCAGCCGGCCGACACTTCGTTCGTGTGATTCCTAAGCCCTTGGACCGGAGAAGGTCCACATAGGTCCACTGAGAAGCTGCTGCCCGCAGCGGCCAAACGCAACACAAGCTGTCTCAGTTGTAGCACCCTCTGCACTGCCAGAAGGCTCCGCAAGATTTTTGCAATGCTCATGGCTTAATCTGGTTGAAGTAGTACAAGTAGAAGCACATCAGAGTGGAGAAACCTGCTTTCACGAAACACTAAATGATCGCTGCGTTGCCAGCATTGCAACATATTGCAACTGTGTCATCGTCGTGTCTTGACATTGAGTAACAGTCTGGTGTTTTGTGGAGTGTGGTTTTAGCTTAGGGGCCCGAGCTCTAAAGCAGAATACAGCTCCCGGCACCTTGAGCGCAGTAGATTGGGACTCGAGGCCTGACACAGTGTCATCAGCGCCTATGGTGCTTCTGCCAAAGCATGCCTCGACCAGTACGGCTTCCTGCGCGGAAGCCTGGCAAAGTGATATCTGCGTCTTGCAGGAAAAGACATCATCTCTTTGGCAGGCTTTGCCTGTTCTCTCTTGTGGCCGCACTTGCGGCAGAAGATCTCGTCTGCTGCATGTTGGCTTCCGCATTTGACGCAGAAGGCCTGGCTAAGCCGATCCGAAGATGAGAGATCGCGGGGCCGAAGTACAAAACATCAAATCGTTTGTGGGGGCTTCGAACGGCGAGTGCAAGAGATCGGGCCGCATCTCTCTCTCCTGGGCACTGGTGAAGTGGAATGCGCCGGTGCTCGAGGCCGCCGGGGAAGCTGTTGGCCTGCGCGCCAGAACTCGAAACAACCCACGACACACAAAGCTGCGGCTGCCACCTGGCAGCCTTCTCCCACAGACCAAGCCGATTCGCCGATGCTGTAATTGCTCGAAAGAAGAGATGTCTTGCGGAGCGACCGCTTCCCTAGCAATACTACTGTATCGTGTGTGGCTAGTTCCTGATTGCTTCTCTGCGAGCAGTTGCCGCGTCCTGAGCGTCTGAGGCGAGGCTGCACCGCCGGTGCCTGCATGTCTTTTTTTCGAGAAGGGGATTTCAAGCTCAAAGCTTGGCCTGGAGACTGGCCGTCAATCCGAGTTCCTGGCGACTTTTCGGCTTTGCACTTTTTGTACTTTGAGCAGATCTTTGCAGCCGTAGGGCTTCCGTGCAGAGGCGAGTGCTCCTGACAAAGAGATGCCCTAAGAGTGAGTCGGTCTGGCCGTGGCCATGCACGCGTCCATCAAGCTTTTGAGGTCTTCCACATTGCCAGTCAGCGTCCTGCTGGCAAAGTGCAACACAGCAGATCAGCTGTCAGCTTCGGTTAAGTCAGTGTTAGGGCCGGGACCTCAAAGCGCTGCTGTAGCCAGGCTCGACATGTGGACGAGCCTTGACCAGAAAATTCACGAGCACTATCAGACTATGGGGCAAGCTGTGGCCAGCGCCATGCCTGTGAATGGATCTCGGTCTGAAGGCGGCTCTGGGATCTCACCACCTCCTGGCAGTCTTGTTCTGGCTCTGGCTGGCTTGAAGCACAGAGCAGACCAGTCAGCCTGGAGCTGCTCTGCCAATTGGCTCAAGCTGCGCTCAAACCTGGCAGAAGACGTCAGAGGCAGAGGTTTCTGCCGCGAAAAACCTTGCAAGTCCCCGGCTGGGATTTCAGGTCTTGGAGGGCTCTCTGCTGTTGCCGCATGTCCTGCAAAGTTGCATCTCGTTCGAAACATTGGACGAAATGGCTCCTTTCGACAACTTCTGATGCAAAACTGGAAATTGCCATGCAGATCTGATGTACGGACTTTTTTAGCGCTCGTCTCGCCTTGCACCCTCTCGTGTAGTGCCAGCAGCTCTTGTCTGGGCAAGCCACAGCTTTACGAATTGCCTCTGCTCGTCTGTCTGCGGAGATTTGGCCAATGCCCCGACATCAGCTTTGCTGCCCCTGCAGCCCGGGCGATTCGTTTATGTAACCCAAGAGACGCTCCAGGCTACGACTGCACAGCCACTCAGCAGTGTAATTATCCCATGCACAGGCCACCAGTGCCGAGTCAAGACACGAGAACGAAAGTCTCACTCCACACTGCAAGGCCTCGAACTGTAACCGGACTGCACCACTTCCAAGCATTCTGCTGCAGTCATCTCGCGGAACATGCTTCCCAGCAGACAGGCCGCCACAACGCCTAGTTTGTCGACATGCCTTGCACCCTCCACAAACGCTGACCTCTGCAGACCTCGAAAGATCAAACCGAGTATAACCGAGTCCACAACCACTTCGCCCTCGGCCACCCCAGCAATGTACGTATATAACCTGGCATAAAAGAGTATCAGTGAAGGAGGCATAAGAAGGCCATACCTGCTCATCGGCTGTCATTAAGCCTTACCTCGTTGGCCTCCATTCGTTGCATAAGTTCTCCCACCAATTCAGACAATTCCCGTGAACGTGGTGTGCTCAGGTCCTGCGGTCAGGGCTCAACAGGCCGCCGCTACTCTGGGAGACAGCAGTCTCCTGTATGGGACAATGCCTTAGCTGCTTGGTGCGCGTGACCGGTCAACTGTCAAGGGCCATGCAATGGTTGGCCACATGCATCCCAACTTGCCAAGACAACAAGAAAGCCACAGTAAACAGCCAGGCTGCATAAACTGGAGGTCCGGCATCAAGCTCTGGGCTTTTGCTGCGTACGGCAGAAAACGTCCAGGGAAACCTGCCACAGGCACCCCGTCAGCCGGCCACTCTTCTGATCCAGGGCCAACCTGTGGTGGTATCTCAGTCCTGAGCTGTAGCCGTGCCTTTGCCTGCTGTCTAAAAGTGTCTGAAGCTTTTTCGCTAGAAAAAATGCCGCTGATCTGGCACTGGAATAAACGCGGCCGGCTTTCTGCAAGCAGACGAAGGTGGTGATGCCTGCTTTCAGCAAGCCATGCAGCTGCTCGACAGCTTCCTGCTGAGATGTGCAATAGACCGGGTTCAGGTATGGATATCGGCCTCAGGAGCTGCCACGACACGATTCGGAGTGCAGCAGATACTTAGGTCCATGGCCAATCATGAGGTGCCCTGGTAGAAGCCAGTTGGCATGCTCGGAGAATCTCTGCGGCTTCAATCCGGATGCCAGGATTGCCATTCGAGGTGGTCGACTTTGTAGCCAACACAGCAGCAGCCCCAGGAAACAACACCAAGTCTGCACGCGATGGGCCCAAACTCTTGCAGCAGGCCGCGCCGCCATGCGGTTCAATCAGAGGACGATAAGCATGGTCAGCGGAGTTGTAATCTTCTGAACACTTGTAACCGATTACAGGACAATGAGTGCTGGCTTTCAGCTTGGTGATTCATTGTTGCTAAGTTGTCTTGAAATTGCGAAACAGGCTGGAGATCCACCACTCATCCTGATGAATACACCTACACAGGTTTTATCCCATCCTCTCCTCTGCAAGCGCCTCAGCTGCAGCTGCGCCACCGAATCCCACTTTGTCCAGGATGGGTTGCGAAACTTGCAACTGCTCCAGCCTGGCCAGCACTCACAGCCCACTTACTCCGAAGCTCCGCAAAAAAAAAAATAGCCGGAGGAGAAAACATGACAAATTTCGTGCACAAGTACAGGGAGGCTGGGGAGCCCCCACCCTTGTCGGAGCACCGCCCGCCCGAAACGCAATTGCAAACTCAGCTACTGTACTGCGGTGTTTCCGAATGTAATGAATGATTGCTGCTCCCGCTGCAGTGTCGCGCGTGTTTTGGGTGTCACTCGTGCTCCCGCCAGTCCCCGTGCTCCTGTCGACCGTCAAATCTCTCGAAATTGCTACTAAAGTCTCGACGAGGCCACACCATTCTTTTCATCTGTCACCTTGATTGCCATGTGTCTGGGAACCACTTTCAAAGCTCGTCGATGTGGTCTCGAGATCCGCATCCAGTGCTGTACTGACAATCTTGGTTTTTGCGGAATTCGCAAGCATGCTTCCTCCACAGATCGCGATCCCTTTGCGGTGCCGGGCACGACTTCCACAAATTTTGGGGTGCGACTCGTGCTCCCTCCGCAGTTCCGGGCGCTTCTACCTCCAGAGTCGAACTCCCGCCAGTGTCGGGCGTCATGCTCCCACCAGTGTGGAGATCATTTTGGACTCACGCAGTGGTCTTAAGAGCCTCAGGGGTGCTCCTGGAATGGTTCTTGGTTGGGTGTGTGTACACCAGCAGGTCACCAGCATGGACTGCTATGTGTTGGTGCACTTCGGGTCTACAACAATTTCTGACTTTCTCGCAAAATGGCTGCGATGCTTCGCAGGGGAAACACAATGTGCCACACAGCTATTAACATTGGCGAAGAGCAACTATTAAAACAAAAAACATGTCTGGTAATGTGCCTTGCGTAACCGTGTGTAATCCAGCATGGACTGCGTGCCTTGGCGCAGAGTGCCCGGATGCTGTGACTCACAAGCCAAACCAAAGCAAGAGCCAACTTGAACCACACAAGCCAATCACAAAAAGCCTTTAGCGCTTGTGTGCCTCCACCGCGGCACGCACCCACAGCCTTGTTTTTTCGAAAGCGACGGGTGTGGCCCGTGCAAATATCTTCAGGCAAGTCATGACCCGCGACTGGACACAACCAGCCGAAATGTACTAGTTGCTCGATTACCCGAAGAGCAACACGAGCACGAGCACCGGCGTTAACAATTGTGCGAGCCTCAGCGGTGCAGGTATGATGTGTGCCGCAACTTTGTACTCCTTTGCAGCTCTGTGTGCTTCCACACTACCGGCCATCGTACGTGGGTGGACACAGGAACAATGGCTCTTGGGACAAACGAAGGAGCAAAGCACTCGTGGCCTGGAAATTCGGTCTGCCAGCTTCGCCTCGACACGTTCCTAAGGCACAATAAGACAGATACATCGTACGTGCGTGCTTCTCCAAGATTTGGCTCATCTCGGTTGCCCGTCCTTTGGCAAGGTGCGGCCCAAGCCCTCATCCAGCGCCTGTGAGGCAGTGCGCACGGGCAGGAGATCTTTAACGGCCCATGCCCTCGCCTGAACGCGCTGCTCTAGCCTGAAGGGATGCATGAAACCCGACGCAACTGCTCTATCCTCCAAGAGACGCCTGGACATGCGAGCTGCGAGCTGCTCGCTCGACGGCAAGTCCTCACGCTCAATGGGCCCAACTAAGATTTCAGTCGCTTTGAAGTGGCGCAACGACTGTTCCTGTCGGTAAAACCAGATAGCTCGCAAGAGAAGGAATCCTTGTCAAGCGTTCGCATGTCTTGCCTCACCGCGACCACCTGCATTTGCAACTAATACTTTCCAGCCCAAGCGTAGCATGCGAGAGCCTCCATCATGCTTGCAGCGCACAGAGATGTTGTTGCCTGAGGGTAGGACAAATCTGGACCGGGCTCACACGCCGAAGTTCCGAAGTGCGACGGTTGGGAGCCCTGTACAGCCCGACCTCGGCACAGGCCCGGATGGCCTCTCCCAGAGCATCTCCTGCCTGCAGCCAGCTTCCCTGTCTTGTTTTTCGAAACTCACCCGGCCTGGTCTTCAGCGCAAAGCTCCTCAAAGCACAGACACTGACAGAAACCTTCCAGGCGTCCGCTACCCGCTACCCGTCCTTGCCGGCTCGGGCAAACACTGGAACGCGTGACCCTCCGCCGGACACTTCCGCTCCCAGATGTCCTGGCGGACTTTCGATCTCTCCTGAACCCTTGATAATCAATTATTTAGCAGCCCACAGATGATTTCACAGAAGCAGTGGCGGTGAGGCGGATGGCAACCTTCACGGGTACCTTACCGAAGTACAAAGCATGCCGAGCGCCACACGGAAGGGCTGAACAATTCATGTCGAGCGCCACACGGAAGGGCTGTCGTCGAAGGCCACCCGGCAGCATCCCGACTCGCGATCCACATCGATGACGGTCTGCGACAGTGATGCGGATGGCAACATGCAGCACGCGAAGAAGATCCGTTTGTGGAGACATTCATCACTTCGGAAGCTCAGACTCTGAGGCTCCAGCACCTCTGCTTCCAGACCGGAATCCTTCAAAGTGGCGTCCATCGAGGACAACCTTGGTCTTTGGCCACGTCACAAAGGGGCTCATGAGGATCATGTGTGAGTTGCTTGAAGGGAGCACCTCCATCAGCAAGCCCCGTTCACAGTTAGGCAACCAGGCGCCGAGCTACCCGGCTTCCCACTGCCAGGGCCATGCTCAGCTGTGACAAGCGCTGCGGGTGTTTTGCCTCTTCTGGTGCGCCGCGGCTACATACCAGTAGCTGATACCAGTGGGGCTCTTTTGCCATGTCTGGCATAGCAGCACTACTACATTGGGCATCTGGTCGTGGTACCTACGTGAACCTGGAAGGGGTGGTGGTTAACACAAAAGCCGTGCTCTTCGATAGAAGCACGTGGGATGTTCGGTATTCCGACCATGGCGGCTGCAGCAAGGGATGACCCGTGCATCCGTGAAGCCAATGGTGCTTCATTACCGAGGGTCGCGCGTCCTTGGCATGTCTACAGTCCCAACCTGTTCAGTGCGAGGTGTCTCTGGCGGCTTGCGATGGCTTGCGGCTCCGAAGGACTGAGGCCTGCTGCAAGCAATTCAGGCCTGGAGCCAACTTCGAGCGGAGCACTGATAGCACTGCTGGGCCGCGAGATTCTGAGAGGTGGCACACAGGCACGCCGCCCAAGAAGAGCTCTCGAGCCTGCCGTGGAATGATGCCAGGCGCTCTACGCAGCTCTCTGAGCCCTGTCTGCAGGGTCAACTCCTGCTATGTCGCGTGTTGCAGCCCCTGCCCGGCGCCCCCCGGATCCCCCCGGCCCCCCGGCGCACCGTGCAAACATCCATGAGATCCGCAGCACTGAAGCCAGCCTCGCAGGCATTTCGACTCGTGCGAGACTCGGCACAAGCTCTCCTGACATGCCTCCCGCAGTGCCGCACAATCGTAGCCAACTTTCTTTAGCTCCCCGAGGGCCCTCGAGAGACAAAGACGTTGCTTAGGCCACAGCCCAGAAGCACGAAGATGCATGCGACTTTGTTTTCGGAAGGCCGCGGACCAGCCCTCTTGACGCAGTTGCGATGCGGGATTCTGCTCTGGCCCGACCTGGCACATGGCTCTTGCGTCGGCTGCCTTCCTGCTAGCACTTTTTATGCTACCGACGGTGGAGGCACCTTCCTCCTCTTGATTCCCAAAGCCTCGCAAGTTTTGCAGCTGTCCGTGAGAGATGGGTCCGAACACCGAATACAGTGTCATATCTGAATGGATGAAACCGAGAGTGCACAGCTTGCAGTCTGCTGCACGCAGCCTTAATCAGCAGAATCAGGAACTCATCCAGCTCTAGCACACCACTTTCATCGTCGTCCACCTGCATCTTATACTGTCGCCATAGATCCAGCTTCGATTAATTATCTTTGATAGACTCCAGCCTCCTTCATGATACTGGTCAAGCGCTCTTCGCTTATCGCCATTTTGTGCTGCTGCAAAAACTCCTTCCAAGAAGTTGTTGTCGCTACTTGGCATCTATCTGCGCATGACACAATGTCCCAATCCTGAAGCTGATTGAGGCTGATCGCTCCGTCCTCTCCTGCAGCTCCCTCAAAGAGGTCTGTGTACCTCGTCAGCGAAGAGACTCGAAGCAGTGCTTCCGCATGTCTCGATGACCAAATGGCAGAATTCTGTTGGCAGATATCAAATGCTGCGGCCGGAACAACAACGACCAGTCTGCCGGTTCAGCTGAGATGCTGCTTGAGAGCGGCAGGCTCTAAATACATCCTCGGAATTCGCGAGCTCTTGCCCTGACGGTTCGAGTCAAGTGAGCTCCCGCAAGAAGAGACCCAGTGTACATCGCCTTGGTCTTGTTCTGCATCTCCACCAGTTTCTGCGCCTTCATTGCACAGCTCTGAGCATTCCGACAGTTGACATTACGAGTAGCACTTAGGCCACGAGCCGACAGGGCAGCTACTGCAGCTCCATCGACGCACCGACGAATGTAACCCTCACTGAGAAAGGCTCCAAACGTAGGTACTCCGAGAAGCTTACCTGGCACAGGACCAGTCTGGAGCGTCGCTATGGCATGAGACGGACCGAAAACTCCAGCCGGAAGAGCAGACCCATCTCCGTCAGCATCCACCTTGCAGGCACAAACCACAAACCCCCACCCCGATCGTCGCGGCGGTGGGCGCACGCAACGACCCACGCGTTCTGAATCAGGCGCATCAGGTGGGGAGGAGGACCCGAGTTCCGACAATCAGATCCGTGGATCGAGCTAGCTCATCATCCGCGAGTTGAACAAGGATGCTGTACTGGCTGAGCTACCACGAAGGTCAGCTGCTGTCCGATTCTGGACACGGCTTAGCCGACATCTTGTGGGAGTAAGCATGACCCAGCTTGATGCAGGGTTCAGGGGGGCCGTTTCTCCCCGCACGTGTGGCACTTCATAGGCGGCGGTTCTTCCGAAAACCGCCCGAAATGGCTTCAACACATCTTTGCAGGGGTGTAAAATATGCCACGATACGACGCAGGGCCCGGGTTCGAGCGAACCCTGCGAAAGCCATCATCCGCAACTGCCAGGGCTGCCCAAGGGCTGCCCAAGTGTTCCACAGATAGAACCTCGACCCTCCGCTATGTCATGAACTTCGAGTATTAGTAACAGTTGTCAGAAATTGGTCTCCACCACCTCCACCGATTTGATCCATGATGTTCCGTGAGTTGAGACCAACTCTTATGAACTCTCTACGCCACCGAGCGCAAGTCTACTGGGTCGGATCATCTCCAAAGGTGCGGTGTAGGATCTTCATCATCATGTCCTCGTCCTCTTTCGAGTTGACTCCAAGATACTCCAAGATGTTTACGGGGTGCTCCGACTTTTAGCATTCTCCTACAAGTCGAAGAGACGTTGGAGAGGCATGCGAATCGACGGCATTCGTGGTGGTGGTGGCATTCACCCGTCGGCGCCAGATGACTAGAGTCTCTCTACGGTGCCTCGCGGAGCCTCGCGAGGCAGCCATGGCCCGGAATGCTGCATTCGAAACGTCGTGGCTTTTCGGGTGGCTCAAACAGCTTGCACTCGTGACGAGGGCACGAAGCTGTAAAAGGTGCAAGTGTTGTCGCAGCGATAGCAGCGGCGATGGTCCTTTCATAGAGACAACCGCAGGCACGGTAAGAGCAGACGCGGCAGCAAGAGCAGAACACACAGAAACTGTGAAAACCAGCAGTGATCTCACTGACTTGCAGTGCCGTCTGTCAGCTTCTCCATCAAAACAAGCTGCTTTGATGAGATATCTTGCGACTACGCATCTCTGCAAATTACCCGTGATGGCCTGTTTGAGAACGCTTTTCAGGTCCCTTTCCGTCAAGCCGATGGTGGTGGTTCTCAGCACAGCCTGGGTCGTTCTCTTCCAATCCCCCAGGAGCACTGATAAGACGTGGGTCGCCTTCATCTCTGGAATTGATATGGTACCGGCGCCGGTCTTGTCATACCTGCACAGCACGGGCTGGAGCTTGTCACTGTCTGCTTTTTCACCATGTTGTTTACCGTTTTTCATCCGAGTGGCTCGTGGAAATTCCGGAGATGCTTGAGCACGAACATGTTCTGGCAACCCACTCAAGTGGCACAGACTATCCACATCCAGTGCCGGATACCGATACTTGGAAGCGCCGTGTAGGTGCACAAAACACTGAGGGTTACACGTAATCTTCGAAATCGGTACAAGCTTTTCTTTTCCATTGATTGAAGATGCTCCGCAGTTGCATTAACTTCCGGACTGGTGTGCATGTGAGATATGCACACGGGGAAGACACTTCCACAAAACAACTGCTTCAGCCTCTCAAGCACCATCCTGTCCAGGAACCTTCGGAGTTACATGAACCCTGTGAGGACACTGAACTTTGAATCCGTCGAACGGTCCTTGAGGAAGGGCTCGCAGCAGGCTGAAGAACGTGCACAGCTTCCACCCAGTTTGAGATCGATAGTGGCATGGAAAAAGGAACGTCCCTCGACCAGCTGCTTGAATGCACGTCGGAAACATTTGCACCCCAGTAGATGCATCATGATGGTGCGCACACTAAAAGGCTTGCAGAAGTGTGTGCCATTGCCTAGATGTGCTAGAAACCAGGAAAGAAAACCACCCATGAGACGGTTGAGGGCGTTTCTTGCCACTTGGGTGTGGTTGCCCCACCAAAGCCCGATGATGTGAGCACGGGACTGGGGGCAATGGTGCTTGGTCAAAAATGGCGTAGACCGAAGGCATCCGGCCTTTAAACGGCAGTGGGACGTCCTTTGGCCAATGAATTCGTACCTGCACTCCCTTCCCATGAGGAAACTGGGGATGCTGGCAAATGATTGTCGCAAGTCCAGGTGGCAACCAAAAAGAAGTCACTCCGAGTACAACTTCGATGCCTGGACCAGCGAACGCCGCATTGCAAAGAAGCGGCAAGTACAGGGATTGAAGGCTGAGGCAAATCAGCTCAACCAAGGAAGCAGGACTCCATTCCAGCAAGTATTAGCTGCCTGGAGCCGCTTGTTCATACTGTGCATTTATTGCTTCGTAGGCGTCGCCACTTCCCCGCGCGCACTGCGTAGGTCCGCACTTCACCTGGGTTCATCGTTGCGCCCGTTGGATTCCCAGTCTCAGCACAGAGGACGCACACTTGCAGCCAGTAGGCAGTTCTGCATGTACTTGTCACTCGTGAGATGCTGCAGAAATTCACCGTGAGACACCTCGCAATAGGCGAACACGCTGCAGACTGTGATTTGAAACCGCCTGTGCTGCCACTATGCATAAGTAGGCTGAGAGATGCGCGAGCAAAATGCTGGATTCCTTTCTCCGCTCGATGAGCTTCGTCAAACGACGTGCGCGATCCTCCGCAGCATTCTGCAGCTCTAAACCCGGCCCTGGCCGTCCGGACAGCGCAGCTTGCGGCCCATCCTTGATCTGCACAAGACGCTCCCATTCTTGAGCACTGTGCCCGCTGGGTGCGCATCCTGCGCTTGATCATGACAGTACCCGATGACGGAATTTTAACACTCCGGCGCCTTTCACCGCTAATGACCAATCGTAGCGGCCAAACTGGGACCTCAACATGACTGGAATCCAGGGCATGGTCGATTCCCCGAGTCAGCACATTCAGTTTCAAAGTCAGCGTCTGCAGGCAACTGGCAAACTGAGACCCCAGTACAGTGCTGTAAAATGGGGAAACTTGGCGAAACCCAAATTGTTGGCTGAGTGTCTCCAAATCGCCAGCTAGAGCGCGCTTCGTGTCGATGGGAGCATTGGCAGGCCATCCGGCCACCTCCCGTGCCTCCCAGAAACAGCACAAGCTGCCAAACCGAAGCAAGCTCGAGAAGTGGGCTAGCTCAGATCAGGTGCCTCTGGGACCACCACCGTTTTGCCCGAGAAGCCTAAAGTCAGACGAGCTCATGTCCACCAATTACTGGCTTGCCAACTACAAAGGATTGACAAGGCTACACTCGACTCATATGACTCATATGGTACTTGTAGATGGCAGCTCAGAGCGAGCTTGGCGGAACCGCTTGGAAGCTAGTTCCAATTTTTGTCTCAACGGCCCATGCAGCGCGTCGTCTGCAAAGCGCGGAGCACGGCCGACGTTATGGCAACCTCTGCGGAAACAGCAAGGGACTCGTCATGTGGCAGCACCTAGAAGGCATCCCTCCAATGTCTTCGGGCCTTGTAGGTTGCAGGTTGGCAAGTAACTGCAATTCGCTGTTTCGATTGGTGCGAGGCCCGCATCTGCCCAGAAACGCAGATTCTAAACACGAAAATCGATTCGAAACGTTTCTTGTCATCTGCCAAAAAAGCAGACGAGCGGGTAGCAGCATGGAAAATCCATGGGAGAGCCAGTGAAGACTTCAAGAAATGTTTGAAGGCAAACGGAGCCATGAAAGCCCACAAAGCGTCCCCACAGCCGAATTGCAGATTCTCGGATGACGTGGTTTTGTTCACCAATCCTCCGGTACACAAGGCCTCAGCCTTGAGCTTGGGCAGCAGAGTGTGCAGGGACTTGGCCTGCTGGAAGCGAAGAAGCGACACACGTCCATAACTCCGAGCACTCAGCCTGGCGACGTCCGCGCTTCGTTAGCTTCGTGTCGTTTTTCAGCCTCCGATGAAGCACCGCACGAAGCTTTGCAGAGTTCGAGGCGTAGGCTTAAAGGTGGACTCGTGCAGCTCAGGGAGCAGGTACTTGTCTTTGACGTTGTGTTGTGCCTCGAGCTCTGCAAAGCATGTAGTGGCCGAGGCAGTGCACTCCACTGGGCCTCGCCATGTCGAACTACATGAACCAGCTTGGCCTGCCGGGCAATTGGAGGGTAGGATGGAGGGGCATGACACGGGTGTAGGCAAGTTCTTGCGACAGCTGCAAGCGTGGAAAACAGCAGATGGGAAGCTCCCGCTTGGCCGCCTTCACCAGCCGCTTTCGCTTGTCAGACTGAAGGCAAAGGACCATGGTTCGGCGAAGTGCCGGGGACAAAGTTGTTGTAGTGTCCGTGATGGCAAAAGAATCCTTTGAAAAGATGCTATGGCACTGTAATGAGCAAATGAAAGCAGCGTCATCAGCTCTGCATGCAAGCCAGCACGATCAACTTCTACCGAAAACGCACCGACTTGAGTCAGGGCAACATCCAAGCTTCGCTGTGCACTCAAAGGAAACCATCGACAGTTCCACCGGCCTGAGAGAGCTCGACCCCTGCCCATCGAAACGCTGTGGCCATGCTTTCCCCTCTGGAATTGCTGGTCTCAGGCCTTGCAGGTAGACCTCCTGACAATCCTCAGATCCAACAGACGGGGGCAAAATCGACGCTGGCATTGCGGCCAGGCGTCGGATTTGGCTTTTGCCACGGACAAGGTCGAGACGGAGGAGTTGACCGTGCTGGTCCTCTACCCAGCGTCTCAGAGAGCATGTCTGAAAGCACTCTCGCACTGAGCTGTCCTCGTCTGACCCTGCATCCCTGCGATCTTCCGGCAGACACTGGCACGGGATTCACGAGACTACCGGTTGCTCCTCTATGTCAGAGTCTGCCGGCCGAGTCCTACTGTGTGGGCTGATTCGTATTCTAGCTACTCTCTTGCCGCTTGCCGACATAACACGACCGGACTGGCTCAGAAGCTGAAGTGCTTCAGGGGATAAAACACCATCGACGAGCTGTGAATTCTGCGAGTCTCGAAACTGCAGCTTTCTGGCTCAAGCTCGATCTCAAAGCGTCTGTTGGCAATGTCCAGCAGCCAGTGCTGCAAGTCCCAACATAGGCGCTGAATAAACGCAATGTACACTTCGTGTACTGGCCATGCCGGACAGCTGGGGTTACATACGAGTGCAAGACATCAGATCACACTGCTGAGCTGCTGGAACATCAAATGAACGGCATTCAAGGGCTTTGCTTGGAGGTAATCGGGCATGTGCTCGTCTGCTCCCCATCTTCCGAGGCATGTTAGGGCTCTGCATGGCTCGGCTGTGGGTGAGGCCCCGAACCATCAATGATATATATACATATATAAACAAATATAAACAAACAAATAAATAAATATATTTTTCTTTCGTATTTATATTTATATTTATTTTTATTTTTATTGACATGACATACACGGTAGCAACGCCATCGGCCAGCGTGCAGCCGACAAGCGCACAAAGCCTGCTACGTACGGCAACCGCAATCCGACTGCCGTGGGGAAGCATCTTCGGAATCTGCCAGGGTAAATTTCTCTAAAGAATTCCAGAATCCAGCAGAAACATCATTTATATGCAAGCACGATTGATGACTGGATTGGTTGGGGACAAGAACTGCTCCGAAGCGTACTGATGTCAGAGTCGAACGACTGGAGCAGATTCGAGAGGGCGCAAGGGGAAAGAAAAGGGCGCTGCCTTTGGTATGGGTGCTCCTGGACAGTTCCACGCCAACTGCTGTGTCGAAGGTCATCGATGGCTCGGGCTGTGGTGGTGGCATGGAGCAATTTTTGGAGGCTGGCGCACCTCAAAAGCTTACTGCGGCAGCTGTTCAGCGGGTGGTGCGCTTGGGGGAAGGGGGGGCAACTCTGGTTCAAGTGTGTTTTACCGTTTTACCCTCAGTCGGCATCATCCGAGGTGCATGAAGCCTGTTCATTAGCTGCACGGGTGCACGAAGATTGCTGCAGCATGTCCGGCGGTTAAGCCTGCCGAGCCCCAGATGGAGACGAAAGCTTGGGATTTCCGACTGCGCTCAGTAGGACTTGATGATCTGGGCCTGGAGCTTGCGACACTTGCACGCTTGTCATCTCAATGGCCCGGCAGTTAGCTCTGGGGAAGAACTGAGCACTGCGCGTTGCGCAAATCCTTGGCAAGCTGCTCCAGCTCTCGCCCCAAATCCTCAAGGCATTTCACTCGTCATAACGGTGCAAAGCCATGTGTAGCCCAAAGAACGGGCGGGATGGCGCAGCAAAAAGCATCGCCCCGTTCTACTTCCACCCCTCTATAGGTCAGCAGGCTGAAGGCTCCTCGTGGAGCTCTCTTCGGCTCTTTGGCGTCGCAGGCTGCAGGGGAGAGAAGCGACAAGAATCCTCTTCTCTGATTTCTCGGCCGCAGCCTGTAATGTATCATGTGTTGCATCTCTCCCAGCCTTCACCGATGACGCGACTGTCCTGTTTCAAGTCATGAACAAGCGCAGCAGAGTAGAAAGACTAACTCAACGGCCTGTCGCCGGTAGGCTCTGCTTCAAGCTCAAGGTTTTTCGCAGAGAGTGTGGAGCTGGACCTGAGCTCTCTGCCAGTAACAGGAACTCACAGCACTCGACTGCTCCATGCTGTGTTTCACTGGGAAGTTTGCGAGATGAGATGTCGGTACGGGCTTTGTCCGCCTGCCTGAGACGGGAGCTCGGCAGTGCTCTAGTTTCCGATGCTACGATCCTTTAGGCCGCAGGCTCCAGCATGTGGGCTTTCGCTCTCATCTATCCTCGCGGCCTTGAGACGGTACAGCTGCAGCTTTTTGCTTTGCCGTGAGAACCGGCCTTCGACTGGAGCACACCCGGACAGACGGTCGCCTCACAGGAAACCCTCTGCTCCGCGACAGCCGTTCCGACAATATGAAAGCTTCTCGGATCTTCTCGGGCTCTCGGGCACCGGCACGTCGAGACAAGCCTGCAGGAAGTTTCACAACCGTCTCTTTCGTGCCCAACATCTTGGGTCAGTTCCCTTCAAATCTCAGCGACAGAGGTTGGCACTAGGAGTGTCATCCAGCAAGGTCTCCTCCATGCGACAGGTCCGTGTTAGAGTCTGTGCGAGGCCGGGAAGACTTCGAGAAGAGGGCTGCAGATCGGAGTATGTCCTGCCAGAGCCTGATCGCAGATTGCACCATTCGCCTGAAGAAGCTGATCCGCCTGGGCTTTGGCACTTCTTCTTGGGATGGATCTTGTCTTGATGCTGCACTGCAAGCATGTGGCCATCGCTTTTTACGGAATGGACCTGGGGCACTGTACATCTCAGGCTGCATACCTATCTAAATAACTGGGAGATGTCGAGAAGATGTCGTTTCTTGGAATCTTGCTATTTTCTGCGGAGCTATGCTGTTTCGACACCTCTCTGTGCCAGGGAAGGACATGCAATCAGCGTATCCTTTCGACGAAACGCCCCTAGGCACAGCATCATGCATAGTGTCGCTTGTAGCCGTCCCATGTCGTCCCATGAACCAATGCATTGGCCGCAGGGATAAAAGCTCGTCCAGCAGCAGGTGCACCAGCCCAGTCATCCACAAAGCCGCATGGCGCTTGAAAGCTTAGCTCGTCCACTGCTGCATTTGGGAGGCAAAAGCCTTCTGCGCAGTTTTCAGCTGGGCAACTTTTTGCTGCAAAGCCTCCAGGATGTGCAGTAAAGGGTGCTTGACATGCCACAGACATACAAACAAACACACAAACACACACAGAGACCCACCCACCCACCCACCCACCCACGGACACACAGACACACAGAAACACGATGCACATCACAGGGCCGAAGACTGGGTCCCAACTGCGGCTCTTCGGCATTTCAACTAGCACAGTTTCCCATGGCCAACCATGCTAACCAGCTGCTCACGGCAAGCAACAGCATCGGCTTTTTCAGATTCTCGTAGCAGTTCCTGAAGCTGTGCTGGTGGAGAAACATCCTCCAGAACGTCCTCAAGTGATACCACTAGGTTGGCACATGAGAATCGGCAACTCCAAGTTGGACATCTGAAACTTCGCAAGCACTGCGCCGCGGCTTCGAGACAAGCGGTTAGAACGGTTAGAAGTGCGTGGGAGCGGAGAGAGAGAGAGGAGAGAGGAGTGAGCATGGAACGAGGAGTGAGTGGGAGTGGGGAGTGAGGAGTGAGCGGGAGTGGAGAGGAGTGGGCCGGAGTGGGGAGTCAGGTGTGAGTAGGATACAGAGAGAGAGAGCGAGAGAAAGAGAGAGAGAGAGAGAGAGAGATAGAAAGAGAGAGACAGAGCGAGAGAGAACGAAACATTAGCTGCGGTACCTGTATAGGCACAGCTCACAGCGGCACATTTCAGAACAGTGAGAACTGCTTTGTGGCTGTGGCCTACTGCCCTACTGTCCTCTGGAAACCACAAGCGTGTCGACTGGTGGCCGTGCTTTCCTTGCAAAATGCAAGAGTGCCACCGACCTTAACAGCTCCAAACCGCTTCAAGTTGCTGCAGGCTTTCGACTTCACATATCGGATTTCGATGGAGGCCCTAGTCCGTCCTGTGAAGACGACCCTCACGCAGGCGCAGACATTGGCCGAGCCTGGGCGTGGCATGCGCCCGGATTTGTTCCTGAAACCTTCCCAAAGCCGTCCTAGGAACTCTCTCGGAAGTGAATCCGGCGACCGTCGTTTGCACTGCCAGCTTCTCTGACAGGCGGAACGGCACCTGATGCTTGATCTTTCGTTGACGACATGCGACAGGCGCAGGAGGCGACTAAGGCGTTCACAGACCTCTTCGACCAGCCCGATCTGAGCCAACTTTGCCTGGCAAGCTCTCTGTGGCGGCCCCGAGATTCTGTGGTATGGTCCGGCAGCCCCTTGAATCCTCAACAAGTCTTTGAAGCTTGGCTTCTGTCAACCCTGGGGGGGGGGGGGCGGGGTGCAAACAGAGTCCAGCTACATGTTAAATGTTTGAGGGGAGACTTGGACCACGGCGTGGTTACCAGTAACAGGTCTGGCAGCTCGATCTGATAGGGTCTAGCGGATGGCATCCTCCAGATTTTGCGAAACAAACCCAGCAGTCTGCCTTCGTGTCGTGCACGTCCGTCCACTTCAGGTACGGATGCAGTCTGAAGAGCCTTTGGCGCTGCACTTGGATGAGTGTCACTTCAGATGACGACTGTGCAGGTTCTGCATGCTGCAGTGCACTACATTCCACCCCAGAACATTTGAAGATTCAACTTGTGCGCTGTTCTGGATGCTAACCTTCGTGGTGCACCAGGCTCTCTTGGTCGACATCCATTCAGTCTGAACAAAAGTGCTGCATGATTCCGAACCCCTGGTTCACTGAGCTTATTTGCTAGCCGTCTCAAAGTATTCGCCCAGGCACTCCTCTCCATGCCGCCGAATTTGGACGACTCGACTCTTCAGCGTTTCGCGACTCCACTGGTTCATCTTCCCAATCCTTTCAAAGCAACTGGAGAGAGGCGTGCCAGGATCTCTCGAGACCTCTCTAGACAGCCCTGCCTGGCATTGTCGTTGATCAGACTACACAGCATGTCCACCTCTCGCCTTACAAGGACAGCACCACGGCACATTTTGGAATGTGCCCGTCTTAGTCAGGATGCTGGGCCATGTCTGCTTGGCAGAGGAGTGATCGTACTTGCGCGCGCAAGCGGGGGATCTTGGTGCTCAAGTCCGATTGCAGGCTCGAGTACCTGAGATACTGCTCCAACTGAAGCTTCTGTCAGTAGCCTCATGCGATGCTGATTAGTCGAGCTGGGTGGCGCTTGTGCATAGCGCAGTGTGCTTAGGGTCTCGGCGGCATGCTCGGGCTGCACGGTTGCAATCCTCACACACTGCTTCATCTGCCGGCTTGTGACTCGATTTCGGGTGTCGACAAACCGAAGCCCCTCGGAAGCCCTGTCATGAAAGCCCTGGCATGGCAGCCAGTGATGGCATCGCTCAGAAGCCACGTCAGCGATGAGTCTCTGTAAGGGACATGCTCTCCTTGGCCACCTCAGAGAGGTGAGAGACGTCGCGCATCCTCTCTGCTCCAAAGGTCTACAACACAAGTCTGAGCCAGAAGCGTGCAAGAGCACCCACCACGCGGCCTAGAGTGGAGAGGCTGAGATTGATGTGGGCTCCTCAAGACAACATGAAAAGGGAATACCACAAGCTGCAGGAATTACGAGTGTCCCATCCTCTGACATCGACCTTAACAGAGTGAAGACTTTGAGCTGCTGTGCAGAGTCCTAGAGCCCTGAGTGCTTGCGAGCCTTCTCGAAGCTGCTCGCCGTCGATTGCATACTGTCCGGACCTAGAACAACATGAAGGACTCAGCCAAAGCCGTGACAAGAGCTGAAGCTTGGGAATCCAGCCGCTCGCTCCCGGCTAGGTCCACAATGTGCAGTCGAGTTTCCCGCCCTCCGGATGAGGCAACCAGCTCGCATCAGGCAAGCGAACTCCAAAACATACAGAGATCTCCGAAGCTAGTTCCCAGGTCCCTCCTTTCGCAGATGTGGCAGGATCTGGTTGCCAGCAGACATGGATCGTAGCCACCTTAGGTGCAAAAGCCTTGCATCGCACGGAAAGGTAGGCGCCAGCATGGCAGCTATGAGTTTCGATCCGAGCAGACTGTTATTCCAGGAAACAGCGTGGCTGCGGCTGGAGCGTGGATTGAAGGCAGTTCGGCCAACGATTCGAGCGGCCGCGCCCTCTAGCAACCACTCGCTGATCTGCAGGGCCAAGCCAGGGAACATTTTCTTCTAGATTCTAGCTCGGCAGGGAACACGGTCACGACATCAACCTTCTGAACTTGGACGTGAAGTGATGCGGCTGGGGACAAAACTGTTCAATCCGGACTTGAGAGAAATGCAACAGTATTGTTACCGGAAGCTGTCCCAAGATAGGGGGTATGTTTGGGGTGGCACCCTTCTCTTTTTACAGGTTTTACGCACGAAGCTGCATCTGCGACTGGTCGTCAACTCAATGTTGTGTTGGTAGCACTCTTGGAAGCATGCAGAGCTGTTCAAAGGCATCACATGTGCTACCCCTGCTGCAATGAAAAGCACTGGCTGACAAAAAGCTTCTTATCGATGTTTTGGGTATCGTTGTGGGCATTGTTTTGGACCATCAGCAGCACAGTGGTGGTGGTGGTGGTGGTGGTGGTGGTAGGAGGAGGAGGAGGAAGAGGAAGAGTAAGAGTAAGCGTAACAGTAACAACAATAACAATAACAATAACACTAACAATAACAATAACAGTCGTCGTCGTTGTCGTCGTAGTAGTAGTAGCAGTAGTAGTAGAAGTAATGTAGTAGTAGTAGTAGTAGTAGCAGTAGCAGTAGCAGTAGCAGTAGCAGTAGTAGCAATAGTACTTTGTGCCAGGAACTTAGAACAACTATTTTGTGGAAACGTCTTGGCAATCTTGGTCATCGGTGCTGGCCGGCGTCTTCGAGAGCAGCAGCAGTGGGCCAAGAAGGGCAATTGACTGCAACAACCCCCACCAGCGGCAGCTCCCCGACCCCTTGCTCAGCTCGGGGCTGGTGCGGAGAGCGATCCGTTCTGGTCGTTGATCGTCGGGATCAGCGAGTCCAATCCACTTTTCAGGGCTGGGTGCTGGACGAGATCCTGCCCAATGCTCAAGCGGCTGCGAACGTTTTGAGTGATGGTAACCTGGTCCGCTCGCCTAACACCGGTTGCCACTTCAATATCTTCCTCATGAAGACGCTGTCGCAGCACAACTCACCATGCAAAGGTGCTCTTGCGCAATGCTTTCCAGCCGTTCAGGTGGCCCACAATGACCGAGAACTCCCCAACCTGGGTCGACATCAGGGTCAAGGTCGATGGGCGCCTGCTCGTGCACTTGGAGACTGCGTGCTGGAGGGAGGGTGTCAACGGCATGCTTTTCATCCCGGCCGTGTCGGTCATCGTTTTTCAGGGCTACCGAGTCGTGGCGATCGTCTGGGAAGTGGGCGGCCGCATTTATGCTCATTCACAGAAAGGAGTGGTGGTCGCCTTGGACGACCTCTGTCACTTCGAGATCAGATTGGTGGCGCTCTCCTCACGCGATGCGGCTGGAAGTGAGGTTCGTTAGTGCAGGTGATCGGCTCGATGTGTTGCACGCTGGCAGTGCCACCTTCGTGCCTGGTGGTGAGCCAGGTCTCCGGGCCCATTTTGATCAAGAATGCTATTTATGCTATTTGGTGCCGGCAGCAATCCGCTCGTCGGGTGGAATGTCCATACCGCCTCGCTGTGGAGAGCCATCGGGACAATATCCACCTGACCTGTGAGTCTCCGATGTTCCAGTCAGGTTGGCGCATTGTCCCAAGCAAAACGATCGCCATCCAGGGCCACAGCAAGCGTTGCGAGAGATTGTTCAGTTCATGTTTACTGCGCCTGTTCAGCTACATGTCAGCAAGCGATCGTCTGCAACATGTTGACATGCAGTTGTTCAGCACATGGCTGCACTTCGCTGTGCAGTGACATATTGTTGATGCTGCTGCTGTGTGGCATGTTCATGTCTGGCTGCAGCACGCCCCCGCAGTTTCGTGAGTACAAGCCCTCTTTTGTGCGCTCGCAGATTCTCGACCTTTCATGCACGCAAGCTCTCTCCTATACATATGGATATATATATATATGTATATGTATATATATATGTATATATATATATACACGTGTATATGTATATATATATACACATATATATATACGTGTATATATATGTATATATACATATGTGTATATATATGTATATATATATATGTGTGTACATGTATATATAGATACGTATATATATATATGTATATAT